GTAAACAGATAGCGGACTACCCTCTGATCAGATGCACCTGCACGGAGGGGGATGGATCCCATTCCGTTTCTCTTTTTAATGGACTTGTGTTTCTTTTTTTTAACCATTAGCCGCCCGGCCAATGGCCGTTTGGCGGCTTCAAAAGTGTTGCTGCATTCCGGGCGCACGCCATTTGGCGTCCTCCAGCACATGCGCAGTTTGCGCTAATGCAGAGCGGCGCAGCAGCACGATCTGTCACCGGCTGTGTACCTCGGACACGGCCGATGACAGATCCGAGTACCGGCTCCCGTTGCTGGTACCATGTGACCTGCTGTGACCAATCACAGCAGGTCACATGACAGTTGTATACAATGGATGGCTTCATTCATGCCATCCATTGTATACTAGTGCCTAGCTGTGAATGGTCACAGCTAATCACATGCACATGTCATGTGATTAGCTGTGACCAAATCACAGCTAAGCACAAAAAAAAAAAAAAAAAAAAAAAAAACCCTGAATGAATCGATGTCATTCAGGCAAATGCTTGCTTATAGCAAAGTAATTCTTTGCTATAAGCAAATTGTGTAAAAAAAAAAAAAAAAAAAAACTGATCACTTCCCCAAAGTAGTACAATGTTACTATGGTAACATTGTACTACTTTGGTCATAGTAAAATATGAAAAAAAAATCTTACATTTTTAAAAAAAAAAATGTAATAATAAATTAAAAATAATAAAAAAATAAAAAAAAAAATTAAAAAAAAAATTTTTTTTTTTTTTCATACTGTCACCAGTCAGTGTCCCTGTTCACCGCCGCCATGCCAGTTATATGATGACGCTGTACTGCACTGGTGACAGTATGTAAAAAAAAAATAGTGAAAATAATTTTTTTAATTTTTTCATTTTCCGAAAAATTATGACAAAAAAAATACAACTTTAAAAAACTCGCCATTCCTCTTATGAAGTACATCGGACTGTCTACTCTGCAAAAAGGGGACATTTGGGGGATATCTGTCTGTCCTGTCCTGACATTTGGGGGATATCTGTACTATTCTATCTGACATTCTTGGACCTCAAGAAATTAGATTGGCTGTCAGTACTTCAGGATTGATCAATATTCAGATCTATACCATAGTTTGTGAACTCTATAACTTTCCTACAAACTAAATAATACATCCTAATTTGGGTTATTTTCACCAAAGACATGTAGCAGAATACATCTCGGCCTAAATTTATGAAGAACAATTATTTATTTGTAAACTTTTATAACAGAAACAAAGAAAAATGTGTTTTTTTTCAAAATTTTTGGTCTTTTTTTGTTAATTTAGCAAAAAATAAAAACCCCAGCAGTGATTAAATACCACCAAAAGAAAGCTCTAGTTGTGTGAAGAAAATGATAAAATTTTAGTTTGGGTACAGTGTTGTATGACCGCGCAATTGTCATTCAAATTGTGAGAGCGCTGAAACCTGAAAAATGGCCTGGGCAGGAAGGTGTAAAATTGCCCGGTATTGAATTGGTTAAAATGGACACAAGTTTGTTTACACCCACCAGTCCATAGGGGTGCATGGAGGGTCCGATCAAGTCCATCTGAAAAACTGACAAGTGGATCTGATGAGACAATTTGTTTGAAAGGGAAATTTGTTTCACTTTGTTTTGCCTCATTCTTCTTACCATAGTAAAAATGATGTTGTTTACAGAGTTCAGTAGCTCAATTTACAGTTACACAAAAGAGTCAGATCAGTAACTCCTCCCTGCAGACAGCTCCATAAAGGAGATGCAAAATATGGCACCTCCTGGCAGGTGACACAGACTGAGGCAGAGTCAGCTGCTTTTCACGAGAACTTCTGAACATGGAGATGGGCCAAAAGCCCTAGTGGCCCCAGTTCTCCTTCACTGCAAGCTGTGACTATGTTGTGGCCCTATGGATTGCCCTGCCAAGGGGGTACCTGGAACAGAACAGCTATGGTGTGTAGACTGCATATGAAAAGCTAGGTGGAAGAGTAGTCAGGGCCGGGCAGAGGTTGGGGCAGGTGTCAGGCAAGAAAGTAATCAGGTTCAGATAGAGGTCATAAGCATGCAGCAGGCAAGAGAGTGGTCAAGTCCAGGCAGCGGTCTTGGGCAGGGAGCAGGCAAGAGAGTGGGGAGTAGGGGGTAGGTGTACACGTTTCTAACAAGCCCTGGAGGTGGCTACAAAGTACCTGGCACCTAATTGTCATATTAGCCAGCTATCGTTGGGGCCCTTCTGTAAGGTGCACATGAAACTGTCCTTTTAAGACAGTAGATGGCTGATAAGCAGTCTCTATTGGCATTAACTGCTATCAATGTTAAACTAAGCACCGTCAATTTTTGCTCACCAATCCCAGATCACAGAGTGTGTTTGGTGGTCAGCTGTCCTCAAGAGTCCAATCCCTGACAGCTCTGTCCTCACAAGGCTCAGTCTTTGCGTTCAGATTCTCACAGGTCCTCCCCAAAGGTAGGTGCAAATTGCAATCGGTGTCCCCAGCTCTGGTCCCAAGACCAGGGGTATATTTACCACAAGGCATTTTCCTAGGGCGGCATTTTTCAGGGGGCAGCAGCATTTTTCAGGGGGGCAGCGCCGTCCCCGAAAGAAGGAAAGGAAGAAGGGACACATGCAGCACGGGGACCAGGTGGGATCTGAGAAGGGCTGCCTGACTCTTCTTCCCGGGGATGTCCGGAGCTGGAAAGGTGAGTGTTTTATCTCTTGCCGGGTTGGGGGAATGGGATTTGCCAGTGTATGGGAGGCGGTGGTAGTGGAAGTCTCTCTTGGGTGGCTGTGGGGGGCTTGGGTGTTGTTGGTTAATATCAGGCTCTCTTTGTGGGGGAGGGGAGCTAATTTTTGTGTTGCCTAGGGCAGCACGAAACCTAAATACACCACTGCCCAAGACACCGTGACTCTTTGTAGCTCAGTCTTCAGCTCGGTTCTGGATGCTCTCTGGTCTTACAGAGCGCCAAAGTGGCACTCCAGATTCCCCGCAGGCCCTGACCTCTTGGGTGTAAGGTGCAGACCCACAGCAACAAGTCTGCACTCTCTGGCTCCCTTTACTAGACTCCCTGATCTCTGGTGAAAAGATCTGTCCTCCCCTCCTCTGTATGCAGAGATTTCTGGGTTGTGAAGTCCACAGCCCATTAACCTCTATTCACTTGTATTGTGCACCTCTCCTTTTAGGACTACATATCCCAATGGCCATGGCGGCTGCATAGCAAATTCTCTTTCCCCCTGATTTGCTTAGAGCTGCTTTTGCCAGGGGGAGCAGGAACAAGGAAAATGAATAGGTCAGACACACACAGCCCGCGGTTGCACCACTCTGTCAATCATCAAGAATATATCACAAATAATTAAAAAAGCAATAACATCACCAGTAAGCGAATCAGTTTCCTTCACACATACACTTAATGAACCACAGCCTTAGGCCATTTTCATTTCTCATATATCAGGCACTTTGTTCCAACCAGGGGCATCCCAAGCCAGGTGCGGGGGGTGCGGCCCGCACCGGGTGACACCGACCACACGGGGTGACACTAAACCCGCTCCACAAAAAGGTAAGTTGTAAAGCAAGCCAACGATCCCAGCAGGATGGATCGGATCCATCGTGCAGGGATTGTCGGCTTTCTTTACAACTTACCTTTTTGTGGGGTGGGTCAAGTGTCACCCCGTATAGGCTGCATGCTGATGTTCCCCTCAGAATGAATGGGATCTGCGGATTGGGGAGCATAATGGATCGGACTCCGATCCATTATGCTCAATCCGCAGATCTGATCCATTCTGTGGGGATCGTCGGAGGGGGTGTCACCAAGTGTTACCACACCGGGTGATACCAACCCTAGGGACGCCCCTGGTTCCAACTAGTATGCCTGTTGTCTTGCATGCTTGATATACGGCGTGGTCCTGGCCATTACAATGCATTTTGTGGATTCCTAGACTCACTTCTTTAGGTGTCTGTGAAGAACAATATTAGTCAAACCTATCGATGGACCAAGGATTGGAGACCTCCACTTCACCAAACCATCCCGTTGGGAGGAGTGCAATTGAGTGGCACCCACAAAGACAACAGAAGTAATGGGGTCCCAGTATTGAAGGCATCAACAATGAAGAAACCCAAAGCGATTTTCAGGATCTTGTTATCTTATGTTATTCAGAGTCATCAATGTATAGTCCAAGGCACCATCCAATATTCCCATCACCGCAATCTCTCCTGAAAATGCCTCCTCTGATACTTCCAAGCGATTGAAGACATATCGCAGCCTATCCAAGCCACTTCTGCAGCTCTAATGAGTGTCGGGAACAGGGGCGGACTGACCATTTGGAAACTTGGGCACTGCCCGAGGGCCCGGGGTCAGTAGGGGGCCCCAAGAGATGCCCTGGTACCTTTTTCATAGGCTTTTTTTGAGTTTGGGCAAGGACACAGGGGCCCCATGATCCCCTATTGCCCAGGGGGCCCCATGAGTTGTCAATCTGCCCCTGGTCGGGAACATTCTCAAGCATCTCTATTCACAACAATCCAATCACTATGGCATATGTTGATTGTCCAAGGACATTTGGGACACAGATGGGAGATGTGAAAGTTTGTGGAAACACCCTGTTCTAATAACGTAATCCCATCCTCCGGAAATCTGCAACAGGTGTTCATCTTTTCAATTTACATGATCCTGGTAGGGCTGAGAGGGTGGCTGCCCACATGGAAGAAAAATATATTTTAAAAATATTCTTCCCAAATATATTGACATATATTTTAAATTTTGGCCGTATTCAATATATTTAAAAAAATAAATAAATACATAAATAAATATATATATATATATATATATATATATATATATATATATATATATGTGTGTGTTTTAAAGCAGATAGTAAAAAATATATATTTTTTCAAAATTATTGGACGTTTTTCATTTATATCATAATATAATATATAGTAAAAAAAAATAGAAACCCCGGTGGTGATCTAATAGCGGCAAAAGAAAACTCTATTTGTGTGAGAAAAAAAAAGTGTTACTAAACCCCGGACCCTGCATTCACTGTATCCGCTCTCCCTGGACCCTGCATTCACTATATCTGGTCTCCCCGGACCCTGCATTCACTATATCTGGTCTCCCCGGACCCTACATTCACTATATCTGGTCTCCCCGGACCCTGCATTCACTATATCCGGTCTCCCTGGACCCTTCATTCACTATATCTGGTCTTCTCGGACCCTACATTCACTATATTTGGTCTCCCCGGACGCTGCATTCACTATATCCACTCTCCCCGGACCCTGCATTCACTATATCTGGTCTCCCCGGACCCTGCATTCACTATATCCGGTCTCTCCCCGGACCCTGCATTCACTATATCCGCTCTCCCGGGCCCTGCATTCACTATATTAGCTCTCCACGGACCCTGCATTCACTATATCCGGTCTCCCCGGACCCTGCATTCATTATATCTGGTCTCCCTGGACCCTGCATTCACTATATCTGGTATCCCCGTACCCTGCATTCACTATATCCGGTCTCCCTGGACCCTTCATTCACTATATCTGGTCTTCTCGGACCCTACATTCACTATATTTGGTCTCCCGGACGCTGCATTCACTATATCCACTCTCCCCGGACCCTGCATTCACTATATTCGGTCTGCCCGGACCCTGCATTCACTATATCTGGTCTCCCCGGACCCTGCATTCACTATATCCGGTCTCCCCGGACCCTGCATTCACTATATCCGCTCTCCCCGGGCCCTGCATTCACTATATTAGCTCTCCACGGACCCTGCATTCACTATATCCGGTCTCCCCGGACCCTGCATTCATTATATCTGGTCTCCCTGGACCCTGCATTCACTATATCTGGTATCCCCCGTACCCTGCATTCACTATATCCGGTCTCCCTGGACCCTTCATTCACTATATCTGGTCTTCCCGAACCCTGCATTCACTATATCCGCTCTCCACGGATCCAGCATTCACTATATCCGGTCTCCCCGGGCCCTGCATTCGCTATATCGGTCTCCCCGGACCCTGCATTCACTATATCTGGTCTTCCCGGACCCTGCATTCACTATATCCGCTCTCCCCGGATCCAGCATTCACTATATCCGGTCTCCCCGGGCCCTGCATTCGCTATATCCCGCTCTCCCCGGATCCAGCATTCACTATATCCGGTCTCCCCGGGCCCTGCATTCGCTATATCCGGTCTCCCCCCGGACGCTGCATTCACTATATCTGGTCTCCCTGGACCCTGCATTCACTATATGTGCTCTCCCCAGACCCTGCATTCACTATATCTGGTCTCCCCGAACCCTGAATTCACTATATCTGATCACCCCGGACCCTGCATTCACTATATCTGGTTTCCCCGGATCCTGCATTCACTATATATGCTCTTCCACAGTACACACAACATGGAAATGCAATTATTTTAGTAAATATAAACTGCTAAATACTTTCTCATCAGCAGTATATAGCAGTCTTGTGACGTCTATCAGGGTCCAGCAGAGCACTGTTTAAAACTTGAAGGAGGAGATTTATTTTTGCTCTAGGAGGGTGCAGAACCCCTGACCTCTGTCTGGACAGTGCTGATTGGCCCTGTGCTGATCACATGCACTCTGCCAAGGAAAAATAAAACCTCTCTAGCAATACACACCAAACTGAGCATGTGCATGTGGCTATGGGTTCAGTCTGTCTTATCAGGAGATAAGACATGGACATTTGAACAAGAGGAGGATCAGAGAAGACAGGACCAAATGGCCACAGTGAGTATAACAAGCACGCTTTACTGCAAATACAGACTGATTTTACTGTTGTGGGTTTAGTAACACTTAAAGTTTGGGTACAGCGTTGCATGACCAAGCAATTACCAGTTAAAATAGCACAGTGCTGAATAGCAAAAAAATGGCCTGGTCATAAAGGGTTTGCTAAAACCTTTTCAGAGCTGCAGTGGTTAAAGTTATAGCAAGAAATATGCCGCAAATTTTTTTATTTTTATTTTTTATTCATTTATTTTTTTAAACTGTTTTCATGCCAGTATTTGTTTGATAATAAAGAAAACCAGGAGATATCTATTACTATTTACTACTAAATAAAAGCCCGATTTTGTCCTGCAAAAAAAAAAAAACTAGAAAAAAAAAAACGCAATATAATCCACCTGGATACACTAAGTAGCTGCAATGATATGTAGGGTTTTACTAATACATGTCAAAGTTGTAAAACTGCGCTCAGGTGTTAGGATTTATTATACCTTCACCATAAAGGGGTTCTTTTTTTCAGAGAAAATTTGGAAACACGCTTCTAAAGCAGCTTGTGACGGGAGTCACTTTGGGTGGGGGGCCCATGGAACCCAACTCACTTTGGAGAGGTGGGGGAGACCCCTGTCTCAGCTCCCCATATCCCTCTTATGTGTAAGTCACCCTGTGCCTGTTAGGGGTACAGGGTGATCTGTCCTAATATTGGGGGTGGCGGTTGTTGTTTAATGCCATGTGGTTGCATCCCATTGTTCTATTGTCTGTCTTGCTTGGGAGCAAACTATTATGGGATGTACAGTTGTGTTCAAAATAATAGCAGTGTGTTGAAAAAAGTGAATACAGCTCACAATCCTTCTAATAGCTTTTATTTCCATCCACACAAATGCATTGGGAATACGACACATTCTATTCCAAATCAAAACATGAAGAAAAATAGATCAAATTTGTGTTGTTCCTCTAAAAAAAAATAAAGAAAAATCGCAGTGTTTGTATTCTTCTTTACAAACTCAAACATTCACGATACAAACTGAGAAATGTTTTGAAGATTTTGCTTTCCTTTGAATGACTTCATGAATATTTGGTTGTAGTCGCACTGTTTCTGAGAACTGCTGTACATCTGTGTTGCATGGAGTCACCCAACTTCTGGCCCCTGTGATCAGGTATTCCAGCCCAGGATGATTGGACTACATTCCACAGTTTTTTCTCTATTTCTTGGTTTTGCCTCAGAAACTGCATTTTTGATGTCACCCCACAAGTTTTCTATTGGATGAAGATCCGGGGATTGGGCTGGCCACTCCATAACGTCAATCTTGTTGGTCTGGAACCAAGATGTTGCCCGTTTACTGGTGTGTTTGGGGTCGTTGTCTTGTTGGAACACCCATTTCAAGGGCATTTCCTCTTCAGCATAAGGCAGCATGACCTCTTCAAGTATTCTGATGGATTCAAACTGATCCATGATCCCTGGTATGCGATAAATAGGCCCAACACCGTAGTATGAGAAACATCCCCATATCATGATGCTTGCACCACCATGCTTCACTGTCTTCACAGTGTACTGGGTGGCTTGAATTCAGTGTTTGGGGGTCGTCTGACAAACTGTCTCCGCCCACTAGACCCAAAAAGAACAATCTTACTTCCATCCGTCCACAAAAATGTTGCGCCATTTCCCTTTAGGCCAGTCAATGTGCTCTTTGGCAGATTGTAACCTCTTTTTCCCAACAGTGGACTTTGCGGGGACTTCTTGCAGATAGCTTGGCTTCACATCGGCGTCTTCTAATTGTAACAGTCCTCACAGGGAACGTCACACCTTCTTTCATCTTCCTGGAGCTGATTGTTGGCTGAGTTCGCGCCATGTTGGCTATTCTTCTATCCATTCCAATGGTAGTTTTTCTCTTTCTTCCGCGTCTTTCAGGTTTTGGTTGCCATTTTAAAGCATTTGCGATCGTTTTAGCTGAGCAGCCGATCATTTTCTGCACTTCTTTATATGTTTTCCCCCTCTCCAATCAACTTTTTAATCGCAGTACGCTGTTCTTCTGAACAATGTCTGGAACGACCCATTTCCTCAGAATTTCAGAGAGAAATGCACTGTAACCAGCATGTACAACATTTGCTGCCTTCCTTCCTTAAATAAGGGCAATAATTGCCACCTGTTTTTCAAAGAATGAATGACCTCACTAATAGAACTCCACACTGCTATTATTGTGAACACGCCCCTTTCAATGAGTGATTCAATGACACAGAATCAGCAGCATGCATGTCATGACTGTTGGGTCTGTTGGATTTCTATTACTCTACTACACCTGCTAGGAAATTATTTGCCATGTAGAAATATAATTTCTACCAAAACAGCGATTGATCCGGTTAGTGATGTCTGACTGCTATTACTTTGAACACAACTGTAACTGTATGTGTTTGTGTATTGGCTTGGTGGGGGGTGTCTCCAGCAGCCCTCCCTCCTGATGGGACTGTCTGCTGGTATGAAGTTTGAATACCTGTGTGTCTCTTGTTGCTAAGTGTAGATTGCCCCGCCCTGTGACATTATGCAGGGAGGGGGATTGCCCCCTGAGTGTATAAAAAGCCAGTTTGAGTTTCAAATAAAGAGTTCCATGTTCAGACAAACGGGTGTCGTCTAGTCTTGTTTGGTCAGCGGTGGTGTCCGTGGTCGGTGTTCGGACAGGGAAGCGGTATTATAACGGAAGTACCCAAGCGCAGACTGGGTCGGTTCCGTTACAACGCTTTCTGTAGCGCACCTTATTGGAGCAGAAGGGACAAGGGCAGCTTTATATAGACATTAAAGGCGAATGGTATACTGGGACTGCGCCGTACGCATTAAACATCAGCGTAGATCTGCTAAAAGGGTTCAGGGATCACATTAGCTGCGGATGTATCCACACTCCACACTCACGCAAGCCCACAACAATACGTAAATCGGGGGGTCCATTGCATTTTCACGTTTAAAATTTAATTTCACCTTTCAGAACATTTTGTCACCTGTTCACTTTTTTCCTTTATGTTGATAAACAAGAAGAACTCGCGAAGAGAAGGCAGACGTCAGCCCGGGAAGACTGACACCCAAGGTTAGTTCCGTCAAGTCATATTTGGAAGTCAAACGGAGAACGCCGCAAGCAAATTGGCAGACATGACACCAATTAATTTCCCCGAATTAAACATAAGCACGTGCTGCTTTGCCAAATTTTTGAGCAAGTCGAGTCACAACAATAATTAAAATTATCAATGCGAGGAAAATTGAGCCAATTCTGTTTTTTTGTAAAGGGGAACTCCGGTGTCATGCAGCGCTGCTTCTTATACCTTGCTTACTGTGTTGATTTTACCATTGTTGAATTAAAAATGCACAAGTATCAGATCTCTGTGGTTCACACCCAGGGGCGGACTGACACCTCACGGGGCTCCCGGGCAATAGGGGATCATGGGGCCCATGTGTCCTTGCCCACAATCTCAAAAAACCGTCACCGCAATCACTCCTGAAAGGAGTGCCTCCTCTGATACTACCAAGCAATTGAAGACATATCACAGCCTATCCAAGCCACTTCTGCAGCTCTAATGAGTGTCGGGAACATTCTCAAGCATCTATATTCACAACAATCCAATCACTGTGGCATATGTTGATTGTTCAAGAACATCTGGGACCAGGGGCA